CCCCCCCCCCTTGACTTCCAGGTGGCGAACCTGGGGCCCAGGTTCCATGTGTCCTGCTCAAGCCGAGAGGCGGCAGATCGCCCGCCCCCATCCCTCATCCCCATCTCTTCCCTGGCTGGACAGGCGGCGGGTCGAGACTCTGTAAGGACAGAGATTCAGGTGACTCCCTGAATCAGCCCAAACAGAGAGCTTCTAATTGTCTTGCCTCCCAAATATGTTTAAGTGTCCACAGTAGATTTGGGGTGGAGGTTGCGGGCGGGGGTAGGGGAAGTGAGTGCGAGGGAAGGGGCGTGGTTAAATAAAAGAGTTCAAGTTTCCAGCCTTCTGCTGAGCTATCCCAGCACATCCTGACTTTACCCCCCTCCCCCCGAAGGGAAAAAGCGGTTCGAATTGGGCCCTTTCCTATGGGAACATCTGTTGGAGTAGAACCATGTCCCAGTGTGCATTTGCCGCGTTAGGCGGTTCTTCATGGACAGACTGATCCGTTCTAGAGACACCCAGGCTGTTCCTTGTCCCTGAGAGTTGAAGAAACCCAATCTTAGCTGATTACCTGTCTCAGGCCAGGAGCCTCTCCAGCCTTTAGTTACTGAGCTGAACCAGTCAAATCGGCTCCCCCACCCTTCAACCAAGTTTCTCAGAGGTTTTGTGGCTCAAATGCTATATTTATCGTTGTAACCCCAGACATGGAGGAAGTTTAGAAAACCAGTGCCAAAAATAGGGGGGGGGGGAGAAAAAATTTAAATCAAGATAAAATGAATTCTCCTTCCTATGCCATTTGTCATCCGGTCAACAGCACTGTCCAATCAGGTGATGCCTTCTCGGTCATGATTATATCTTTGCGCACACAGCCTGGACAGGTCTCCCCAGGCTCCTCTGGTTTCTGGAACACAGGCATTGGAACAGATCTAATCAGCCCTTTACCACTTGCCTGTGTGACTTTGGGTGTTTAACCTCTCTGAGCCTTAGTTTCCTGATGTATAACACAGGGAAGATGAGATTTATTGTGAGCTGATCTCTGTGAAGCACTTGGCACAGATCCCGGCACACACTAACTTCACCATAAAGGCTTGATGTTTGTATTATTTTTACTGTTATTAATTTAGCAGATTACGGGAGTGCCCATATTATGTGCTGGGCACAGTAGCCCCTGGGAATGCAACAGTGAGCAAGATCATTCCCTACCCTCAAGAATTCTCTGTTCTAGTGGAGGAAACTGATAAATAGGCCATCGGGAGCGTGGTAGGTGTAAGAGACCTAAACACCTAACGTAGGTGGAAAGGGAGTGAGCACAGCACACCTGAAAGGGACGGGTCCAAGTTAATCAGATTGGGGGAAGGAAGTTGGTTCTGGAGGGAAAGCAGGATCTCGAAAGTTTTTCCTTTGGGCTCTGTTTCCTCCCTGCCTTTTGAGCACCATGTCCTCACTCTGGACCTCTCCCAAGGCTCTACCCAGCCTCCTGCTTTTCTCTCACCACTTTCCCTAGTGAATTTCTGTCACTTGTATAGCTTTAGCTCCTGACTCCGAAGTCCACGTAGCCATCTCTAACCTCTCTGCTGAGCATCAGTCAAACTTCTCTCACTGAATGCTACATATTTCCACTTGGAATATATAACTGTATTCTCAACTGCAATATGATTTAAAAACTTGAACTCATCTTTCCACCGAAACCACTTCCACCTCTGTCTTTCCTGTCTTGTCACTGACACACTACTCTTTTCCCAGTTACTTGACAACAACAAAAAAATCAGAGTTGTCCACAAGTAGAATGGGCTCCCTGGTAAGGTAGTGAGTCTCTGGCATGAGACTCATTTTCAAGCAGAGATTAGATAACCTTATATCCAGGAGTTTGTGAAAGCTATCCCTCCAAAGGGTGGAGGATGGGCTAGATGACTTATGACACCCTTGCTAACTAAATATAATTTCTTTAATTTTCCTTCTTCCCTATTTGTCTATTTCTTAACATTTCCTCTGCCACAGGCTGTTTCACCACACACGTGGTCCACTGTAATTGTACTCTAACTAGCGTTCCTTTCTCTGGGTTATTTTTACCCTCCCCACCCTTCCCACCCCTTTATACTCTAATATGCCTTCTGTGTTCCTTAGAACAAGGCTTCTCGAATGTGATGGTCCACAGATCAGCAGCATTACCATTATCTGGGAGCTTGTGAGGACCACCAGATCCCACCACAGACCTTCTAAATCAAAAATCTACATTTTAACAAGACCCTCAAGTGATTTGCATGTACAATAAAGGTTGAGAGACGCTGCCTTAGACGACAGTTTTGTGTTTGTCCCCTTTCTGTTCAAAACTTACAGTGGCTTGCTTCTGCCTGCTGAATAAAATCCATACTCTAGCATGCACCTAAGACCTCTTCATTGGTCTCATGTATGTGGAATTCTGCTTCTGTACCTACCCCCCATGAAGCGCTGACACACTTCTCAGCATATTTGGTCACTCATTCAATATTACCATGTGCCTACTATGTGGTAGGCACTATTCTAGAAACTAGGAGATATATACACCTCTGGACAAGGCAAATTAAGCAATAGATAATCAAGAGCTAATGATATTCCATGCTTAGAATTCATTCAAGCCCCACGCCTTCATGAAACTCTCCAGATCCACTGCTGTTCCAGCGATCTTTCCGTTTGCTGAACTCCATAGGGAGTTGCCCATTTCTTCTTGTGCACCCCCAGACCTCCTGAATTAAAATTTTTCAAGGTGGGGAGTTCAGGCATCTATAGGTTTTTATAACTACACAAGTTAATTTGAAACACATCCTGGTTTGGAACACGATGGTTAGATCATTAATGGAGCTGTTGACATGGCAACCTGCAGCCATTCTTAGGCCTCTCTAAATGGGCAGTTATATTTGTTTAAGGTGTTTTGGAATTGCCTTTACTTTTTATTTTCAATGTTTTTCCAGAGCATAGACATTTTTTTCTGTGGATAAAACCCATCTCTATCTACAGTAATATTCCCTTTTCCTCCTGCTGTAGACTACATGTGGTCAGGGACCTGTTTCCCCTTCAATTTCTTTTGCATGATGCTTTGTGTTTAATGCTATTAAACAATGTGCATTCTGACAATCTTCTTTTTCAAATTCAATCTATAGTTTTATTATTCCATGTCAGGATAAATGATTCTTAACATGTTGGGGGGGAAGGGGGTGGCTTCTATAAGAAGATTAGGGTAGGAGTGAGAATAAATGCAGTTTGGTAAAAATCTATAGATAATTTTGAAAAGCCCTGGATTGAAAAACATTGATTTCTCTGAAGGAGTTCTGAGGATTCTTAGAACTCTGCTTACCAGATTAAATCCCCACGCCCATTGCTGTATCACTGCCACAACCCCTCAAAAAAAGAAAGGGAAATGCAGGACTTTTTTCCTAGATTCTTCAAAAGCATTTCTGATTATTTATTTTAGTCCTTTTACTTTTAAATCAACTTATTGAGATATAGTGTACCTACAATCAAATACACCTACTTTGGGCTGGCTGGCTGGGTGGCTCAGTTGGTTGAACCATTGTCCTGTACACCAAAAGGTGGCAGGTTCGATTCCGGGTCAGGGCTCATACATCGGTTGCTGGTTTGATCCCCATTTGGGGCGCCTGTGGGAAGCAACCAGTCGATGTGTCTCTCACATCGATGTTTCTCTCCCCCATCCCTCCCTCCCTTCTACTCTCTAAAAACCAATGGAAAAAATATCCTTGGGTGAGAATTAACTACAACAACAACAACAAAATAATAATAATAACCGTAATAATAATAATAGCTACATGGGAAACCGAGGGAGTGAAAAACCGAGGCAATTATTAAATGCGTCTAAAGAACACATGGTCATCTTTACGTGCTTGCCTCAGCTGTGACAATGTTGCCTTCGTCAAAGTAATGTAAACGCGGGCCACTGATTCATCCAAAAATTATGCCAGAACTGCATTGGAAGAATGAAGGCAGGAAAGCAGAGAGCAGGAAGGTGACACAGGAGAGCTTAGCTGTCATCTACCATGGCAGGAAGTTAGAAGGTAGGTGTCTAGAATGGATAAGTGGTGGCCATATAAACAGTTTAAGAACAATGATGAAAGGCAGGCTAAACAGACACAGGCATCGAAGGTAATTGCTTCGGGGAAGGGGTCAGCAAGGATTCAGTCAAGAGAGATTTAAACATTAAAGAACCATATAATAAACTTTTCGTACAGGGATTGCAGTGTTTCAGGATGTACTTGGCCAAAGTACCTCTGGGTCCATTGTCACCGAAAGTTTCCAAACAACTCTTTGGAATCTAGCAATTTATAGGTTTAGTACAGTGCCTTGAATGTTCGATTTGTAGTTAAGTTTTTGTCAATCCAAAGGTATTTCTGTAAAAGGAGATGTGACTAATTCAACCTGTTTTTGTTTTCTTTTCAGGTTTAAATTTTTGAAATTGAAATAGGTCTACACATTAGGAACTCATGTCTTTTCTTGTAAGTAAACCAGAGCGCATTAGGGTGAGTGTTCCCATTCTTCTGGCCTTACTGTTTTTATTTTCTGAAAAGCAAAGTGTTTTGGCAGTGTTGGAGGTGGTTTGTTGCGCGATGATCAGAATCACGCAGAAGTGAGGGATGTGGGAAGGAGAGCAAGTATCTCAGCAGCCTCCACGCCTGAGAAAAGAGCGCGCAGGCAGGCCGACCAGGGCACAGAGCACACCGCCCGCTTGTCTGAGAGAAGAAACGAGGTGGCGTATTTTGTGACTATCGGTCACTCAATGTTAAATGAGTTGAATGTGCAGCTATATAACCACTAACGATCTGCCCACTTCCTACGTATTTTCAGCGAGTTTGTGTGTTTTAAAAATCAGTATCAAATTGTAATCATTGGAACACTTTTTTTTTCTAAATATAACTACAGGTTTTAATTGAAAATTTCCTTAACATGAAAATTGTGTTATACCTGAAAACTTCACCAGCTAAAATGATCTTAAGAACAAATACTAGATTTAGTTTTCCTTACAAGCTTCCATGATTTCATAAAAAAGTATCATATTTTATTATCAAGTATTTAATTTCTGAATGCAGTAGTAATTATTTTAAAATCTTGCAACAATGTATAAATGCTATGAGACATTATTAATATACCACTTTCTTTAAATATTAAAGTGACACAGTTTATTTTTATTAAATATCTTGTGGCACAGTGCATGTGATTTTTTTATATCAAGTTTTTTAAATTAACGTGTTTTGTTTTTGTTTTTAATTTGGAAAAACATTTTAATTTGGAGGAGAGAGAATGATATTATAGTTCCAATTCATGATTCGTACTGTGCAGCTTATCTCTGAATGTTACTTAATCTTTTTTTTTATGTTTACATATATAATAATAATTTATATTGTAAAGAGCAAACTGCGCTGTCAGTTAAGAGGAAAAACAGATTCTCTCCTCAGCCTGAACTCTGCCCAATGGAAAGAACGTCCCCAAGCCAAACTTTAACACCAGCCCTTAAGTGAAATACAATCTCGATTCCATTGCTTTTAAATATGAGCTGCTTTTCTGTTTCAACCCAGTCTGATTCAGGTGAAACCAGACCACTGCTCAGTAGGATGGAAACCCAATACTCATTTGAAATAGGCCGGTAAAGTGAACCGTATTGGTCATGCTAGTTTGGTCCTTGTAAAGGTAGCATTTGGTAGCAAATGTGAGCAGCGATGGCCTCAGAAATCCTAGTGGATGAAAGGATATGCAGCTTGCAGTTGCCTTTTGCAAACTAACAGAGGCTCATGAAAAGCTACTGTTTCATCCCTGTTTTGTGTATCGTGAATTTCAATAGTAGTTTTCAGATCGGCATTCATGGTCCTGAGCATCTGTCACAGGCAGCCACGGAATAAGATGGATCAAAATGTCGTTTTATATGTAGGAAGGAGAAAAACATTCATTATCAGGGCCAGTACTATGTGTTTCTCATCTGTCAGGTTTAAGAAATATCCATCAAGTTAGGCAAAGAGGAATAGAGAAAGGAATTCATGCATTGTTTTCGGTTGATTTAAATCCAAGATTCTTTTCAAAACTTTTCCATAGAAATGTATCTTAACTGTTCTACATGATTCTGTTTTTGTTGTTGTGTTTTGTTTGTCTGTCTAACGGCTAATAGCTAATTTTTTTGTGGTTTGGAAGAAATACTAATTCTCTTTGGGGTTTTCCTCTTTAGCGGTGGGTCTCGGAAAAGTTCATTGTTGAGGGCTTAAGAGATTTGGAACTATTTGGAGGTAAGTACAGTGTGGCGTTTAGCCGTCACTTCAGGATAAATCTCACTGCTCTTTTGTTGACTGAATCAATTCATAGAAATAAGCAATTCTAAGGGAAAATGTAAACTGTAGCTGTTATATTGATTTGGCTCCTTTTGAATCCATGGTTTCCCAAAGATGTGGGGACTAGTCTGGCAGTTGTCCTTAGCCTGCCTTGATTGCTAGAAAGCCAGTATTTACTTAAAGGCACATGTATTTCTTCTAAGTATTTGTCCAATTGATATACATATTCTTAAAGTAAAAAAAACTAAGTGTTTAAAAGTTGCTAACCTTGATTTTAAAAATAAAATTATAATCAGGACGAAGGTAGAGCTGATGTAAAAGTTCTGGCTTTACTCATTAGTCTAGTTGACTCATCTTTTCATGGTAGAAATTATGAGGCTTAAGAGAACTAAGGAAAAAAATGTCAGGACAAAAATATTAACTTCCTATTGAAAAACCAAAATGTTGATTTCAGAAGTAATTTAGGTTTGCAACTCGGAGATTTCACAGGCTCAGGCATTTTCCTTTGGCTATTTTCAAATTGAGCCTTTTGTAGAACTGTGATCTTTATTTACGGTAAATAAAATTCTTTTCTATAAAAATATTAGTAGAGTCCCATTCTTTGTGTCTGAACCCCAAGATACTCTCTTCGGCACCTGTAGCTAAGTAAATAAGTTATCAGGTTGAATGCATTGGTGACTGATCCGGAATACACCCAACAAGTAATTGAAAACTGAAACTTGTTAGTTACTAGGTGATGCCTATTTATTTTCCCTAATGCCATTCAACAAAGTTCTCATTATAAAGAATAAAAGTTAGCTGAACAGTAAAGGAAAGGCTAATGGAACAAATACTCTATTCTGGTCCTATTCTCAATTTCCTCCCATCATTAATGGGAATATAATGGTTTAAAAGTAAACCGTGACATTGATGGGAATTGAGTTGGGCATCCAGTGTGTGATCAGTGAGTTTAAAAATTTCCAGTATATGTGAACTGAAGTCCTGGGTTCTGGTCTCAGCGTCCTGAGCGTGGATCTCTGGCTGTCTTTGACAGTTCCCCGGTCTCTGATCTGAGGAGGAAGAGGTGGTTCTGTGGATTGTCCACAGGATGAAGTATATGTTACCAAGTTGTGTACAGCTTGGCGTTTGCCCTCTGCTCGGGAAGACTGGGTTTGATTTCCTTGAACCTAGTTGCCTGGCTCTTCCCCTTGGCAGACTGTCTTAAGCTACTGCTCCTGCCGTTTGTGTACCAGAAAACTGATATCCAAGGCAAAAAGTATATATTTATTATTTTGATAAAATCGAGGCTAATTGGCTCTGTGGCCAATCTTCTCTGCTGTAATTTCTAATTTAAGATATTTGGAAATATATTCCAATACTTTACAGTTAAAAAATCCTACTTGATGATTTCTATCACTTTTACCGAATGGAGAATATCAAAAGCACAGGCACAGAATTTGTCTGGTTTAAGAGCAGAAAGTTGCTTCGGTTGTCCCGTGCTTTACTTTCATTCAGAGTAGAATATCTGACTAGAGAATCAAATTGGGTGATCGTCCCACATACACGTGCTGCTGTATTAAAATGGTTTTTTGCCTTTTAAAAAAACCTGTTTTCTAGTCCCTGCAGTCCCTGGGAAATAGCCAGCCATCACCATAACTTTATAATGAATTGTTTGTTCACAGTATAAGACTCTGAAACCAGATTATTGAAAGTAACATTGTGTGATGAAAAGTCAATGTATGACCAGAATTAAAGCCTTTGAGTTATACTCAATAAAGAACACTCATAGAACAGGAGCCTGGCCAAGTTTTGAAGAGCAGTAGATTCATGTGTAAAACCCCATCTTATCTGCAGCACTGTTACTGTGGATGTGTGTGTGTCTGTGTTTATATGTAGCACTGCAGGCACTTTTCCTTGTAATAACTCAAGTGGTTTCTATTAATAAATGTAGTCCTAAGTGCAATAATTGCTGTTCTGAATGTGGGTGCGTCTTCTACTAAAAAACAAAATGCCAACAACCCATTTCTCTACTTTAGAGCAGCCTCCGGGTGACACTCGGAGAAAAGTAAGTGACTTTCTAGGCTCTCTCACTATGGCTGTTGCATGAAGATACTTCTTACGGAAATTCGTATATTTTGTTGGCTTATCATTTTATGTTTCTGCTTATCTGTCATTGAGCTTTATTTGAAGTGTAATTCTTTTTGTGGATTCAGGTTTCACCCCGGAAAGATTTTGATGTAGACTTTGAAAGCTGAAAAAAAATCTCCGGCACTTTTTGTCTCCCTCCAGGGGATTAAGGTCTCCTCCCCTTCCCGACCCTCCCAGTTACCCGCCACCCTCTCCAAAAAAGCAGAAAGTTTCAACAACCTAAAATGTGGTTACCTTTTAGTGGCTAGTGGTATTGAATTTTCCATCCTTAGTCTATTAATAATAGATTTTAGTCCGCAGAGATGATATTGATCGCTGTCTAGATTATAAGACAGGACCTTAAATCTCCTAACTTAAAAACAAAACCCAAAATTAAAAACTACAGAACAGAAAATGCATTTTTTATTGGCCAAAAGCTATGAGACTCTTGCCCTGCTTCCTACTCTTCTAGCTTATTTTACCGAAGGAAATAACGCCCGACGTACACAGTGTCCAAGCTATTTTTGATAATGTGAATCAGAGGATGGGAAGCCTTTTCTAAATAGACTTCCTACTCTTTTACTTATTTATTCATTTATGTATGTATGTACTTACTTATTATTTTTATTGATTCTAGAGAGAGAGGAAGGGAGAGGGAGAGAAACATCGATCCACTGCCTCCCACACATGCCCCCCGACCAGGGCCGAGCCCAGAACCTGGGTATGTGCCCTGACCGGGAATCGAACCTGTGACCTCTTGGTGCACAGGACGGCTCCAACCAACTGAGCCACACCGGCCAGGGCCACTTCCCCCTCTTTCCAGATGGCAGACGTCTGCACCTTTGCAAGCGGCCCCTCGGCCGAGTGAAGGGTGATGGTGCTGACTAGCAATTTCTCTTTGAGTAAAGCTTTGGCTGTGCGTGCTTAGTCTGCTATCAGGAGCAAGCCCCTCTCTCTCAGATCCGAACAGCTTCCAGTCAGGAGACCAAAAGGGTTTTCCATAGGATCAGTTAGGTATTTTCCAGAATACAATGCCAATTATATATAATTTTTATATTGTCACAGCTGCCGATGTTGCACCAAAAAGTGATCCTGTGTGAAACCTGTGGGAGGTTGAATGTGTTTATTTGGTGCATTTCATCACTATTGTCTCTGTGCACTTTGTTGTATTTTGTTCTGAACTCTTTAAACAAAGTTATCACATTATGATCATTTCTGGATATCAGTAGCTTATGTATTTTTCAAATGCTTCAAAATGAAAAAAAATGCTTTTCACAGTGGGGGAAATTAAGAAAAGGCTTTGCTAGAATTGGTTCCTTTCCCCAGGCAACCTGAGATGATGCTTTACACTAATAAACCTTGCCGGGCTGTGTTTAAAGAGAATGGACTTAGTCTCTCATCTTTTTCATGAGTTTTGACTTTTCCTAAATCTGAAACGTAAGGAACTGACCTGCCTTTCTCATGGCAACATCAGACCCGACCTCTTCCTTTCAAAATGCCGCCCCTGTTTTCCTACATAAGGTTGGTCTCTCTCTGAGTGTAGACCTAGGGGACCTCTGCAGAGTAGAAAGCTTCCAGTTTAGGGTCTTTCCAGTGGGCTGGGGACAGAATGGAACAGGAGCCACAGCCACCGCTGGGCTAGTCCGTGTCATGCAATTGCAGATTGCTCAAGAACTCATGTTCCCAGTGACCTACAGAGTTTCATTTTCTAAAACGAACACTTTTGAGTGGTTTTCTATAGTCAACAAAGATAGTAGAAATACTTGTCAAGTGAGGAGTTGTTTGATATGCATTCCTAGCAAGGAAGAGGGACATAGGTAATAAAAAGGTATCTATCTATAGTTTGTCCAAAGGGAGTTATTTAAAGTATATGTAGTAAATATTTAATCTCAGGACTCCAGCTGTCCTTTGTAGTCTCTTTTTCAAATTAGAGAAACATTAGGGAGTTTGCCTGGAGATCAGAGGAGAGAAGACCTTCAAAGTAGTTCTAGATTTGTTCTCGTTGGGACCATATTGTTACCTGCTAAAAAATGGAGTACAGTAGGTCCTTACTTAATATTGTCCATAGATTCTGCAGCTTTAGGAGAAACCATGCATAATCATAGGCTAATTGATGTAAAAAAGAGTTAGGTTCTTACAGCATCTCATCAATGTTATAACAAAATGACATTGAATGAAACAACGCTATTTGAGGAGCAGGAATATGCGAGGGGGTTAGAGGGTAAGGAGATGGGGCTCTTCAAGGTTAACTTAGCATGCAGCACGTAAATGCTAAACAAATGGGGGGTCGCCATGTCACAGCTCTTGCTTTAAGCATTTTGCTTAAATCCCTACTCCATTTTTGTCCGTTGGCTGCATCTCTCCCACCCATGTGAGGCACCTGGTAGGTAGTAACCAGTATCTGCAGATTGTTCTGATGACATTGTAGTTTCAAGAAGCTACAGTGGCTACTAATGATCCTGGAATTTGTTTTCAGAACATTTGAAAACGCAAGTGTAAAAACCAAAATCAAACCAACCTTAACTGTTGATCAAGCTCTACGTAGGAGTCTGTTTTCTCCGTCTTCTCTGTTCCATCTTATTTGTTGAGTAGGAGAGTCGCCAAAAAGTAGACAGCAGAAGAGGGAGAAGAATAGAATTCACATTTATTAAAAACCAGGTGGTGCTAGGCTCTTTACATATTTCATCTCATTTAATTGTCACGACAACCCTAGAAGTGGGAATTATTCCGCTGATGAAACAGCGGAGATCTCATGAGATTAGAGTGACTTGCCCAGGATCACAGAGCATTAGAGTGACTTGCCCAGGGTCACAGAACATGTGATAAACCTGAGTTTAAGTTCTCCCTCCGGGTGGCCCCTAATCCTGTGGTCTTTGCCTTACACCATATGTTTTACTTCAAGTAGCCTTTCCCAAATTATCTTTTCTAAAATTTAACAGATGTTAGACACAAAAGGGTTCTCCAGACAAGTACCTTTGAGAAGTGCTAGGCTAAACAAAGTTGAACAAGTTTCCTTCCTGCGGAACTTCTCAAAGCCTCGGCTATGCAGGTACGCCTTGCTGTTCTCCACGAGGCAGTGTGCTGCTGCATTTTCTACCCTAGTCGGACACGTAAACCCTTTTTTCAAGCGTAACTGCCAGAATCAGTGTTCTACGGGGCCTACTATGGGGAAATCCTGCATTAAAACAACTCAGTAGAAAAATGGACAAGAGGCAGAAAGAAGCATTTTCAACGTGGAGAAAACCCACGTGGCCAATAAATACGTGAAAAGATGGTCAACTTCATTAGCAATCGGGGAAATGTAAATCAGACCCACAATGAGATTGGCAAAAATTAAGTCTGAATACAGCAAGTGTTGGGGGAAGAAAGATGGATCAACAAGAACGTAATGTATCACTGGGGGGAGTATGGGTTGGTCTAACCATTTCGGAAAACAACCTGGCATCTCGTAAAGTTGGTTGTTCATATACTCTGGGACCTAGCAGTTCCACTTTAGGGGAACTCTTGCACATATGATCAGGAGACACAAACGTGTTTCTAGCGGCACAGTTCAGAGTAGAAGACTGAAAATCCCAAAAGCCCATCGACATTGGAATGGATAAATTGAGATACGTCCCCAAGATAAACATTATACGGCATGGGTGTGCAACATGGCTAAATACAAGATGGATGAATCTTAGAAGTGTAAAAATTGATTAAATTAGAAAAATAATCTAGTGACAAAGCTCAATTTTGCTTGACTGGGTTCCTCTTATTGTCAGCACAAGTGGTATGGGAGGCAGAACCCCACTTGGTTTTTTTCCTTACTGGCAGCATCAACTGTTTTGAACCCAGACGCACTTGGAAGGTGGGGGGTCCCCAGCGAGGCGGTAACACCGGGTCAGAACATTCTCCGCTCGCTCTCTGGTTAGCGCCGGGCCAAGGGCCTTTCATGGTTCACAAAGACCTTTCCCCACCAGAGGTCAGGTTTATGGATGTAGCATAGGAAATATGAGCGGGCTGAGGCTCTCCATTTCAGTTAGACACACATCCAAAGAAAGAGGATCCAAAAGAAGGGAAAATAGAAGGAAAACTACACAGCCCCTCAGTCGTACAAATACATTGAGGTCTGGAAGAAGGAAACAGGCTTATTAAGCTGAAGGAAGAGCTGTTTGTCTGCCATGTATTTCGCTGGGCACTTTCCTTCGGGACTTCAAAGGCCAGCAGTGTGATGCCCACATCCTAAAGGGCTGGGACCCAGCTTCATTTGCAACACAAATAGGCAGGAAGGAGGGGCAGGTCACTTTTGCTGCCAGGACGATGGCTGAGACCTGACAGCTCCGTCTTTTGCCTGCAGCCCAGTGTGCTGGCTGTTTTCTTGCTTCCCTTGGAAATGTCAGGGAATGATTGGTCTGGGGTCTTGGTTTGCTAAAGGGAGGCCTACTTATGGCCACAGCTTCCCTAAGGCAAGTTTCAGCGTTTGATCTTTGGGGTTTTAGAGTCAGGACCTTAAAAATAGGACCCCAATACAGCAGGAAATTCAAGAGACCCTCCCACCTCTCCATACCCCTTCTGTTTTGTAAATGTGCCTTTCTCCAGACGTCCTTTCCCCAAGTAAGAATTTTATAGTTTCCATTGTGCTGTGTACCTGAAACTCATATAATATTGAATGTCAACTGTACTTGAAAAAATTTTTTTCAATTTTTTTAAAGAAGTTTATAGTTCTTAGCGAGTGAGCCAGTTGCTGGAAAGACAAGCAAACCAACAGCTGACTGGAGCTGGTCCTTGTCCCAGTCCCACCCCCATTTGTGGACAGTGCTCACTGGCTGTGCTGTCAGTGCTGCCTCGAACACCGGAGGCTTTACTTTACCTTCTTCATCCACGGGTGCCCGCACCCGAGGCAGAATTTCTGTTCAGGTGCCAGTCTCCTCGTGGGTCTGAATTACACCTCCCCGCTCCCATCCCCCCGATTTCCTCCTACTAACCTATTTTTCTTTTTCTTTAGACCAATGAGGCGAGCTCAGAGTCGATAGCATCCTTCCCCAAGCAGGAGATCATGAGCAGCTTCCTGCCGGAGGGCGGCTGTTATGAGCTACTCACTGTCATAGGTAATGTCCAGGGCCTGCCAGGACCTTCAAGCTCCAGGGGGTGGCTGTCGCATCCCAGCATCTCCCTGAGTGTGTGCCCGAGGCTGTCGTGGTGACTGAACTGGCTTTGTTGGGTCGTCTTTGGTTTTTTCCCCCAAGTATGGGAAAAGAGATCATGCTACCAGGAAAGGAGCTCTTGCAGTTGTTTTCTTTTTGGCGGAACACTTTGGGTGTCCTAGGCCAGAGTCAGTCAGGATGGTTGGCTGAGAAGGAACTAAGAGAAGACTCAAAGCCAGGAAAGTAGCAGTAGTGCAAGTTTTAACTTGAGTTCTCTTTTTAAATCAAGTCTCTTGAAGGAAGAAGAAAACCGCTGTTGCCATTGACCTTGCTAATGGCATCCCTCTTTTCTTTTAGGCAAAGGATTTGAGGACCTGATGACAGTGAATCTAGCAAGGTACAAGCCAACGGGAGAGTATGTGACTGTACGAAGGATTAACCTAGAAGCTTGTTCCAATGAGATGGTGACGTTCCTGCAGGTAATAAAATGTGGATGTGACATTTGGCGGGTGGGCTCTTAGCTCCAGTAGTAATTACAAGGCGTCTTACCTCCGTCGTCTGAGAGCGGCTGGCGAGAAATGAAAGTGGCCAAGCCAGCAAGCTATGGACGCTCTCCGTGAAGAACTTTGGGCACCTGGCACCAAGGATTCCGTAATGCCGCTCAGCCCAGTTTGTAGCCCCTCTTCTCCAAAAATCCTTTGTGCCTCATTTAGTTATTATTCAGAGAGGCTAAGTAATTTGCCCACAGTCACACACACTAGTAAGTGGCAGAGGCAGGATTCAAACCCGGGCAGTCCTGTTCCAGATGTGGGGCAACCTGCCCTGCCCTGCCCTGCCCTGCCCTGCCCTGCCCTGCCCTGCCCTGCCCTGCCCTGCCCCAGGTGGCCACCTGCCGGCTCTTAGCGTCCCATTTGCCTGAGGTTCCTTTCTGTTGGAGCAGCAAGTAGCTGCCCTCTCGTTAAACTGGGAGAGACCACAGGTCTAATAACTGACTGGGGCCTGATTTCTCCTTGGCTGATGAAGGCTTGCACTGGAAACTCCTTAGGTTTAGGGCCTGGGTCGGCGTATTTTCAGGACAGTTAGTTGCACCCCCTTCCCTTCTTCATTTACGATGTTCTGAAATCACGCTCATCTGATGGTGCTCTGATACCAGTTCACAAGCTCAGAGCAGTTTTGCAGATCTGAAGGTGGGACAGAAAGTCTGTCCTCACTGAGTTATTTGGGAGGAAACATGTCTGACTTTGTTCTAGAGCATGTTGGACTTTCAGATTCTCATTTTATAGGGCAGTGGATGGTAGAAGGTACTGCCTGTTTGGCCTTAGCTCACATCGCAGAGGCCAGCACCCTAGAGTTTCTGTAGCTCTCTTGTCTGATTTTTTTTTTCACATCTTTTGTCCAGATTTATTTTAAAATTTCGTAGATCTGACACTTTCTGTAGCTGCTCCTAAGGCAAGGATTTCTCAGTTTGAGGTTGCAGGAGAAACAGCTTCTAGTGTTCAGTAGTTGTCATGTGTTCTTTAATGCTTTCTTCCCTTGTATCTATTTTCTACAACATTTTCCTTTATAATAGGAAAAGATTTCTTGTTGTTTTATCTTAAAGAGGAGTTCTGTGCCTTGGCCCTTGAAGCTGAGCTAAGCTTAGAACTTCTTAAGTCTTTAACCAGCCGTTTGTTTCCATCACCTTTGTGGTGGTGAACTGTTAGCAGTTTCCCTGTTGGCGGAAATTGCTTCTGGAGGCTCTGTAGGACTGGCTGGCAGAGCCAAACAGGCAGATCCTGGCAGAGCAGTGCTGCCTTCCCTGCAGAGAGAGCAGAGCCTCGTGTCTCTCACCCTGGAGGGCATCTGTGTAGGCTGCTCCCAGGACTCTGCGAAGAGTACCCAGAAACTACTAGGTCCCATATTCATGCTGCCACCTTCCTGTAGAGCGTCATTACTCGGTGCCCCTGGATTCTGACTTCAGCTTACCATTGGTTTCAGGGGGAGCTTCATGTCTCTAAACTCTTCAACCATCCCAACATCCTGCCATATCGAGCCACCTTTATTGCAGACAATGAGCTGTGGGTTGTCACATCATTCATGGCATATGGTGAGTGGGAAAGGACTCCTGGCAGAGGGGTTCAGAGAACTCTGTTGTCAGCTGGCTTATGTGCTGTTTTCCTTCTCTGTTACCCTTCCTAACTCCCCACAATTCTCTTCTTCAGGTTCTGCAAAGGATCTCATCTGCACACACTTCATGGATGGCATGAATGAACTGGCGATTGCTTACATCCTGCAGGGCGTGCTCAAGGCTCTGGACTACATCCACCACATGGGATATGTACACAGGTGCATTCCTAGGTGTATTCACCCTTTACGGGGGCGGGGATCTGTGCCCATGAGCCCTCAAATGAACACTGGAAGGTTGGCTGAAGTTAGTGAAGCCAGACTTGGGATTCTGCCCTTGCCTCTGAGTTGGTGGACAGCACCGAGCCTGTCAGTGCTGGAGCTGCTGACTTTCTCTTTACTGAGCAGCTTGTTCCTGAGTATTGTCTGAGAGGAGCATCTGAGGTGGGCCGCTGCACCCCTGTCCATCCCCCTTCTTCTTTGGGGCACCCAAACTGATGTGTGCACCCCAGAATCGGCCCTGTGCTGAGAGGCTGGGGAGAAGACAATGCCTAGTAGATGGTGTCAGGAAAGTGGCTCACCATAAGGAAGATAAAACTAGATACCTACCTAACCTCGCATACAAAGGAGCTCTTCAGGTGGATTAAAGGCCTAGTGTCAGGTGTAAATCTACAGACTTACAAGGAAATGTGGGGAAATATTTTTGGGACCTGAGGTATAGAGCTTCTAAATATTTTAGAAGCACAAACCCTAAGAAAAAGATTGATGAGTGACTATATCAAGATTAAAGATTTCTCTCCAATAAAGGGCACCTTGAACAAAATTAAAAAATGGGTGACAGCATGGGAGATGTTAGCTTTATCTAAAACACACGGGAGGTTAGAAATGAGGCAATCTTGTGAATCGCCGAGAAAAAGATGGCAGAGCAATGGAAAAATGAGTGAAGGATGTGAGGCTCATGAAGGAAACCCAAAGCTGAACAGCCATGTGAGCAGACATGCAAATCTCGTAGTAATCAGAAAAGCAAATTAAAACAGGAGGGTGTCAGCTTATACACCAGACACTGGCATATTTGGAGGCTGGGTGAGGCCCAGCGCGGTGAGGAGGTGGGGTCTCCTCTGGTGTACACTCCAAAGAAACCCTCCACAGGCCCATCGGGGACATGGACACAGTGTCACTGTTCATATTCATGGGAGACAGTGGGAGTGTCCCTTGCTGGAAGAATGGATGAGTGAAAGGGTCAGATCCCACCCTAGAGTACAGGTGGAAGTTAGAAGCAAAGATGAGATGTGTACAGATGGCAGCACGAATGCATCTCCGAAAGATAGCACTGCGGGAAAAAGGAAGACTGGGCTGCTTAACACAGGAGCACGTGGGAAACTGAACATACATGCAAATGAAACAGTGGTACTTTACAAGAACAAACAAAAAGTTCCGGGCAATAGTAGTAGGTGGCAGGGGAAGCAGTGGTCTGTGAGCATAAAGGGAACTTTAACAAAAATCTGGTGAGAATTAAGTGGGGTCATGCTATTTTCTCTTTTGGGGGAATGTTTGAAACTTTTCACAAAAATATGTGTTTGTGTATGTAATATGTATATGTGTGTGTAATACACACACACACGCTGCTGGGAGAGAGCTGACTGATCTAGTGTGTAAAGACTAAAGGTCTGCGGTGTGAGGGACTCCTGCTGCCCTGTGACACCCTCCTCCCGCCCCCGCCCCCCAGGAGCGTCAAAGCCAGCCACATTCTGATCTCCGTGGACGGGAAGGTCTACCTGTCTGGTCTCCGCAGCAACCTCAGCATGATCAGCCACGGGCAGCGGCAGCGGGTGGTCCACGATTTTCCCCAGTACAGCATCAAGGTTCTGCCTTGGCTCAGCCCGGAGGTCCTCCAGCAGGTCTGTACCGGGTCCCGAGGAGCCTGGGGTGGGGTGCTCGCTGCTTCTGAGTGCAGTCAGGGCTCCTGGAGGGAGGCTTTCCTGTCGGCTGGGAGGCCTGGGAGGCCTCTGGCTTGGGCATGACGTGCCCCTGGCAGATGGAATAGTTCCCCCTCTGTGGGGTCCCAAACTGCCTGACCCTATTTCTGTGCCCTTCAGAGATGTCTGCCCCTTGTGGGACATGAGCATCTGGGGCTCTCTCCAGCCCTGTACTAAGCGGGAGCCCGGGCCCCACACTTCCTGCTGCTTGTTCCGTAGGGTCACCAAACAGTCGCTCCTTCTCAAACAGCAGCTGCTCAGCGGTGGGCAAGGAGAATCCGCAGCTGGTCCTGGTTTGGGAAGAGGCTACTCCTCCCCCTCCCCAGTGTTCGCTAATGACCAAGGCTGCAGACAGAGTGATCTGTGGCTTTTTTCTCCTGACTTAGAATCTGCAGGGTTATGATGCCAAGTCTGACATCTACAGCGTGGGAATCACAGCCTGTGAGCTGGCCAATGGCCATGTCCCCTTTAAGGATATGCCTGCCACCCAGGTGAGCCTGCAGCCCAGTGCTTTCCTGCCTGCCTGTCCGCCTTCCTCAAATGCTTGTTGAGTACCTGCCACGCTCAGGACACGGGCCGGGAACACTCGGGTGAAAGACAGTCCTTTCCTTCAAGAGCCCCACCCAGGGAGATGGTTGTATAACTGTGTACTTCCGTGTGATAACTGCTGTGCAAATGTAAATCAGAGGAGGGGAGCTCAGGAGCAGGCCCACTGCTAAGAATTGCAAGGCCTGGAACAGGGGTGCAAACGAAGGCCCACAGACCAGATGTCTATAAATTTATAAAATACGTTGTCCTCTTACCTCAGGCAGAGGGAACAGCATGTGTAAAGACCCAGAGTCAAGAAAGAACAGGATCTGGGCAACAGCAAGTAGTGGTAAATGGCTGAGGTACAGGTGCATCTGGGGCGGTGCTAGGTGATGTGGCTGGAGGAGGCAGCTAGGACAGATCCCAAGGGGCTTTGTGTGCCTCACCAGGACACCTGGTTCCTCTCACAGCGCATGTGGAGAATCACTGAAGGCTTTTACAAGCACAGGAGTGATAGCATCAGATCTGTATTTGAGGAAGCTCACTAGCAGGTGGGTTAGATCTGGGAGATCAGGAGGGTGTGGAAATCTAGGCTAGGAATCTAGAAAACCTGAGTAAGACACCAACAGAAAGATGCTCAGGAAAGAGTTAAAAGGCTATTTAAGGCAAATATGAGGTGCAGATCCAGAAACAGCACTGTCCAATTGAACTTTCTGAGGTGACACAAATGTTCTGTGTCTGCACTGCCCAGTATGGTAGCCACTAACCACCTGTGGCTATTAGGCACTTAAAATGTGGCCAGTGAGATTGAGGAACTGAGTTTTAAACCTAATTTAAATATAAATAAACTTATATTTAAATATAAAAATTAATTTATATTTAAATATTCATTTAAATATAAATAACCACTTGTGGCTGGTGGCCAGCATACTATCGCAGCTCTAGAGAGACTGCAGGTTTCTGGCTTGGACAGAGCAATCCTCAGGGACTTGGACAGAGACCCCCAGGATGGGGCTGGTTTTACATGTGCTGAGTCTGGGGGCTTTGAAACAGCTGCCCCAGCTTGGCCTGTCCCTGGGCATAGTGCTCCTGTGCAGCCAGTGACAGCCCAGGATGGGGCTCTGTAGGTGCTGCGTAATGGACCCCATCAGACCCACCTGGGCTAGGCAGATTGGGGCTGGGCTTCAAAGAAAGTCACCCGGCTGCTGCCTTATAAAGGATCTGATGCCGTATAAAGGGGAGGAGACCATGAGCTCCTTCCTTCCAGCCATGGTCGGGGGGCACCCTTTTGCCATCCCACTCAACAATTTGGCCTTGCTAGGGTGTGGCTGCCAAGCCAGTAGCCAGCACTGCTTTGGAAAAATTATTCTACTATCTGTTCTCTACTCCCCCCAAATCACATCTGCATATTGGGGAAAGTGTATTTGTGAAGAAACTCTAGAGGTCTCCCAGGACCACCTCCAGCCCAGCCTGGCTCTGCCTCCCCAGATGCTGCTCGAGAAACTGAACGGCACAGTGCCCTGCCTGCTGGACACCAGCACCATCCCCGCTGAGGAGCTAACCATGAGCACCTCGCGCTCAGCGGCCAACTCTGGCCTGAGCGACAGCCTGGCCACCAGCACCCCCAGGACCTCCAATGGTGACTCACTATCCCACCCCTACCACCGCACATTCTCCCCCCACTTCCACCACTTTGTGGAGCAGTGCCTTCAGCGCAACCCGGATGTAAGGTATTTCCGCTGGCTGGGGGTGGGCTTTCCAGGGAGCAGGGGGCCTCTGGGCTTCAAGGCAGGGTTTGAGAGGGTTCGTCCATCCTGTAAGGGTCTGGGTTCCCAGGAGGAGTCCCGAGCCCCCACAGCAGGAGGGGTCGAGCCCGAGGGTTTGCTAAGAAGTCCGGCTGAGTAGCTCTGGCTGCTTTTCTTGCTGAGCTGAGAGACAGAACAGAGGGGTACACTTGAGGGTGACATCTAAGCAGCAGGAGTTTGGAAACCTGGGGCACAGGAGTGATGCTGGTCCTCTTCCCCTTTCTCTGCAGACCAAGTGCCAGCACCCTCCTGAACCATTCTTTTTTCAAGCAGGTACGGTAGCACTTTGCTGAGGCTCCCTGTTTTCTTTCCTGTGGTTCCAACTCCCCGAGTCCCCTTAGCTGTGGGGTCCTTAGGTATTCCCTCCTCCCCCCTTCGAATCAGAGAAATACCATTTCTGAAGCCCCTTAGAGGTGCTGCTCCTTCCTCTTAGAGAAGCCCTTAACTCCAACGGCCCATCTGTCACTGGGCCATGGTTCCTTGCCTCTTGCTGTCCTGGGACCCGGAGCAGCAGGATCTACCCCCACTCTCTCTCCTCCCCCAGATCAAGCGACGCGCCTCAGAGGTTTTGCCCGAGTTACTTCGTCCTGTCACCCCCATCACCAGCTTTGAGGGCAGCCAGTCTCAGGAGCACAGTGGGATCTTCGGCCTAGTAGCAAGCCTGGGAGAGCTGGAGGTGGACGACTGGGAGTTCTGAGCCTCTGAAGAAGGTGCACATTTCCCAGCACGCGATGGACATGTGAGCCTCCAGGGCCCCTCTTGAGGGCTGGCCACATTCCCACCCTCCAGGGTGCAGATTGTGTAGAAAAGACATTTCTGCCAGGAGAGTTGCCTGCTTGCTGGCGGGGAAAGAAAGTCCTGGAGAGAAACTTTTCTTTACTGCTCCAATGTTTCTGAGACACCAACCAGGGAGCCAAACAGGCCAGAAAGCTGACATTCCCAGCCCTGGGAGTTCAGTGACCTCTTCAGAAGGAAGAGATGCCATCCTGGCCCTGGGGGCTGAAGTTCAAGTCCAAGGTTTGACTCATTGACACAGAGAACTGTGTGACTACTTCTCCCCACTCATGCTCTCCTACCAGCCAAATTCCATTCTTTCCCAGTGCTCCCAGATCCTGTAGGCCCATGGAGAGGCAAGCAATAAGCAACCTGCGCCCCCTCCCTCTCCCCTCTTCCTAATAATTGGAGGAAAGGGTATTTTTTTTCTTTCTTAGCACCAGTTTAAGCCTGGGCAGTTTGTCCTGATCCTTGTTATCACTTGGGCCCTGACACCTAAAGCCTCCTTCCATAGTTCGTCTGTGTAGTGCATTCCTTTCCCACCAAGAGTCCATCTCCCCGCCCCCTGCTGCTGCCTTGGTGCTTTCTCTGAGGGCCGCAATGTCTTGCCTAGCCAGAGGGCTTTAAGTCACCGCGTTAATTTTATTGTCAGAACGAATTAAAGTTTTCAGAAAACCCACTGGAGAGTGCACTGCTGTATGGTGTTCACCATGCAGGCTCAGACACGTCTCATTCCACCCTGGGTTCTGCCATCCAAGAGAGAGCGGTCCCACAAGTGCTCAAGGACGCACAGCAGTGATCTCTTTCATTAGTAGACAGCCTCACTACACCAATTCTTTAAAACCCATAACAGATTTGCCTTAACTGTCTGGAAATTAGAGACTGTTAGTTTTAGCCTGTGGGCATCTAAACACTTTCGAAGCTGGAAAGGTCCAGGTGCTGGAGATCAGCCCCTCTGAGGGCAGGACCACTTCTGGGCCACTAGGAGTCCAGGCAGAAGATGCTCACCTTTGGCAGGAAAGGAGGTGGAGGGTTTATTTTGTAACATGACTTTCGGTGTCTCCTTACCACTGGAACTAATACCCAAAGAGCTGGTAACCTAAGAAGCAGGCCAGCCCCCTGCCCTGTCATCCTGGCTGGCAGCCAGCGAGGCCAGGCCTGGGGGCGCTTCTCACCTGGGTCTTCTTGGTGCTTCCCAGCCTGCAGGTGGCTGGCTCAGCTCTGCAGCCTCCCTCCTGCCAGTCCCCGCAGGGTGAGGTACTTCAAATGTCAGATTAAGGAAGCGCCCCTCCCTCTTCCCTGAAGCCACTTTGAACTTTCAAATGCTCTTGCTTTCCCTTCCCTCAGAAATTAACACCAGTTTAAAAAAGAAAAAACCCTCCTCCTCTGGCAGTTACTGGGATTGATGTGAAGGAATGGCACCCACCATGAGGTGGGGTGTGGAGACCTGAAATGGAGTGAGGACAGTCACATTTATTTCCAACCCTCCTCTCTCCTGCTCAGCTTTTTTTTTTCCTTTAAACCTCAAGTTCCCTTTTCTTAACATCATTATCAGCCAGCCTTCTTAGTAAACTGCTTTCTTCACCTAGCTTGTCAGCTTATTTTTATTTTTGAGCCAAACTGGACTCTGGCAGCTGCCTGCAGGTCAGCCTGCAGATTTGAGCTGGGAAGGGCAGGGGGGCCTCAGGGTCAGGCCCCCAGACTGTGCCCAACTCCCAGCCCAGTTCTGCTCCCCAGGGCTTCACCCTTTCTCAAATCACTACAGGGCCCTTGGAGAACCTGATGACAGGTGTGGAAACCTGGCCTGGAAAGATGCACGTAAAGAGTTTGAGAAGTTTCTCACCCATCCAGGAGTCCTCAGGCCTGCAGCTCAGCCCAAACACAAACCCACTAGAGGAACATGAGGCTGAGAACAGTGAAGCGCCGCGTGGGCGCAGAGTGAGGCTAGGGAACAGCTGGGGGCCAGGGAAGCCTGCAGCTCCTCCCTCCCCTGCCAGGTGCGGAGGCGCTGCGCTGCGCTCCCTGGCAAGTGTGTGAGCTGCGCTCTGGAGCCACTGGTTCTATTCCTGCACAGTGTGGGAACAAGCTATGTTTAGGGCTGTGCTTGTGAAACAGCTTCCAGCCTGGCGTCAGGCAGAGCTTTGCAGTCCCTGGTGCCCGCAGGCCCCCACCCTCCCAGCAGAGGTCCATCCAGGAGGCTGCCTCCGCATGTTTCCCGCCCAGCTGAGGCTCTACCCCGAGTGAGGGCTGGTCACCCGCCTCCCCTGCGCCGGCCTCAGACCCGGGCTGTGCGCTGGAGCAGCGGGTGCCGCTTGGCCAGAGGCGCCGGGAGCGAGGAGCCCGGGTGAAGGAGGCCTGGCTTCTCACCCAGCCCTGCTTCAGAGGCTGCGTTACTTGGAACAAGTCGCTTCAAACCTTCGGGCCTGTCTGCCTTGTATTAAATGAGGTTTGGGCGCACCGAGGTTTGCTTGTCTTAAGGATGGAGATCTCTTTCCCCGAAGGGGTGCCCCGACATCTGGCAGGCCACGGTGCCCGCAGGGGCCAGGGGTGACCACTACCACAAAATCCGTCCTCAGAAACGCTTTCGGAGCACGAGTGCTCTGGGACACTAAAGGCAGCAGCTTCCCGGGCCCCTTGTCTTGGGGTCGCAGGAGACGGCGCTGAGGACCCTCGTGCTGGCCAGCCCCGCGGTGAGGGGCCGGCAGAAGGTGACTGCACACAGAGGTCCCGGGGCCCTCCCTGCGGCGCAGGCTGTACCTCGCAGCCTGGCGGCCGGGCGTCGCAGGACCGCGCGCCCCGGCCACCGCTGTCATCTTTCTCCACGACCATACAGGCGCGCGGGGCTGCCCCTGGCGGCAGGAGGACTCGGTGGCCCGAGAGGGCGTGGGAGCCACGGGACCCTGGCCTGGCCTCCGGGGCCGCCCCCGCAGGGTCTGTCAGGCGACAGGGCCCACAGAGCGCCGGACGGACATGGGGGCAGCTGGGCCTGAGCCCTCGAGGGCCAACTAGGGGAAACTGAGGCAGCAAAAGGCCCAGACGAAGCCCGGTTCTCCTTTTCCCCCCCAGGAGCCTCGCCGGAGCGCCATTTGTCCCACGACCCCGGGCGTCTCAGCCTGAACTCGTTCCTCGCGGGGCCCTAGGGCTCCAGCCCCTGCCTCCGTCCGGAGCGAGTCGACGGGGCGTCCCGTTGCGCGGGGCCCGAGGAGAGGTGCGGAGCGCAGAGAGTGCGGGGGGCAGACAAAGGCGGGGACGGCGAGCGAGGGAAAGACAAAGCGCAGA